ATATCTTGTGCCTCTCCTCTAAGGGGCTCGAAATAAACTATGAATAATTCTTCCTCATAGGGCCCATTACCAAAATCCTCTCATCATTTCAGAGACAGATGGCATCTCTAACACCTACTTAATTGCTCAGGCCAAAAACCCAGGAGTCATCCTTAATTCCTCTTTCTCTCACCCTCACTCCACCATCCTGCTGGTTCTACCTCCAAAACACATCCCCAACCCATCCTCTTTTACCACCTCCACTGCCACCAACCTAGAAGGCCACTATCTTCTCTTGCCTAACCTAACTAGCCTCCTGCCTGCCACTCCTATGCCCTCTAAAATTCATTGGCCACAGAGGCCAGAGTGATTATTTTAAAAAACAAAAATAGATCATGTCACTCCCCTTTTCCAGAACCTCCAATGATTCCCACAGCTTTTAGGACAAAATCTCAGTTCCTTACTCTGGCAGACAAGGCCCTGTATGATCCGAGATGCATCCCCTACATCTACCACCTCCCGTCTCTGCCTTCGACTCACCTGTCCCAGCCATTCTAAGCCTCCTTGAAGTTTCTAGAACTTACCAAGCTTGTTCCAACCTCACAGCCTTTACCTTTGCTCTTCTTTCTAACACATCTTCAAATGGCTGGCCCCTCCCTGGGAGCAAATCTCAGCAAAAATAACACTACCCTAGCAATGCCTTTTTTCTTTTTTCTTTTCTTTTTTTTTGGAGACTGAGTCTTGCTCTGTCACCCAGGCTGGAGTGCAATGGCGTGATCTCAGCTCACTGCAGCCTCCGCTTCCTGGGTTTAAGCGATTTTCATGTCTTGGCCTCCTGAGCAGCTAGCACTGCAGGCAGACGCCACCACACCCAGCTAAGTTTTGTATTTTTAGTAGAGACAGGATTTCACCCCAGCACTTATTCCTTATCCAAATTCCCTTGTTCATTTATTGGTGTATTTTTCTGTTTGCTGCCAGTAGAATATAAGCTGCATGAGAGCGAAGGACTCAAGTACCTTTCTACTATGATATCTCCAGGCTAACACAGAACTGACACATCCTAGGTGCTCAGGAGATGCTGAATAAATAAAATCTGGGGAGGATAGTGGCAAGTGCACTTGAAGTCCGAAGACTGAATTCCAACGTGAAATGGGCACTCACTGACATCAGGCTTCTTGGCTTCTCTTCAGATTTCTCAACTATAAAACTGAGACCCTCATTTGCACCTTACCTTCCTTGAAGGGACACAGAGAAGAGTAAACGAGTAAAAGAATGTGGAAGCAAGTGTAAGCATTTTTGTAAACCATTAGGCACCATATTGTTATTGTCAAGTACTGTGACTCTCTGTTACAGGAGAGGAGGCTCTTTCTCGGGGACTTGTGAATTAATGGATGAAAAGGCTTAGGAAGCAATCTGAGGTTTCTAATCCAGGCACCTCACAGAAGTCTAGGGACACAACAAAAGAGATTAGAATCAGTGGCTTTATTCTGCAGCCAGGCAAACATAAGATATGAATTCATTTAAAGAAGTCAAATTATTTCTAATGCAGTAATTTGCAAAGCAAGCTCTGAGTTCCTTGAAGGAGATCAATGTGGGATTGATCTCCACATCCTCCATGTGCCTAGCACAAGGGGATTTAGCAAATATTTACTGAATTGGCTGTTGGGCTACCAAACCTGACATCCTACCAACAGCTTTCACCTTTCTTTGCAACCCATTGTGGCACAGGGTTACAGGTTCCTGGGGCAACTGCATAAAAATATCAACCTTTATATAATGCCTTGATGGCTACTGTTTCATGCTTGCAATGATGCTATGGTTGACAGACCTGGTATTATCATTTGCTTTAATTTATTCGTTTGCCAACCATAAATGGAAAATACAGTACGAGCACCACATCAGTCCAAATAACAATAGCTAATGTTTATCAAATATGCTGGGCACTTTACAAATATTGGGTTCAAATAAATCCTCAGAACGGCTATACATAATATGTACTATTATTATCCTCATTTTTTTTTAGATGGAGTCTCACTCTGTCACCAGGCTGGAGTGCAGTGGTACAATCTCAGCTCACTATAACTTCTGCCTCCCAGGCTCAAGTGATTCTCCTACCTCAGCCTCCTGAGTAGCTGGGACTACAGGTGCCCACTACCATGCCCGGCTACTTTTTTTTTATTTTTTAGTAGAGACACGGTTTCACCATGTTGGCCAGGATAGTCTTGATCTCTTGACCTCATGATCTGCTCACCTCGGTCTCCCAAAGTGCTGGGATTACAGGCATGCGCCACCACGCCCAGCCTACTATCCCCATTTTACAGATGAGGAAACTACACCACCAAGGTGTTCCAAATTAACTATGAATAATTCTTCCTCACATGGCTCCTTGCCAAAGAGTCCTCTCATCATTTCAGAGGCACTGAGCATCATTTCAGAGGTAAAGTAGCGCCTCTCCGCTCAGTAGCATACAGCTTGGAAGTGGTAGAGCACCTCTCCGCTCAGTAGCATACAGCTTGGAAGTGGTAGAGCACCTCTCCGCTCAGTAGCATACAGCTTGGAAGTGGTAGAGCACCTCTCCGCTCAGTAGCATACAGCTTGGAAGTGGTAGAGCACCTCTCTGCTTTTAACCACAACTGCCTAACAGCACTGAAAGGGCGTTCAGTATAATCTAGCCTAGTCCCCTCGTTTTAGAGGAGGGAATGAGAGACAGAGAAGCCCACTTTTAAAGATTCCAGCTCTCAGTCCGGGCATAGTGGCTCACGCTTGTAATCCCAGCACTTTGGGAGGCCAAGGCAGGCAGATCACCTGAGATTGGGAGTTCGAGGTCAGCCTGACCAACATGGAGAAACTCTGTCTCTACTAAAAATATAAAATTAGCCAGGAGTGGTGGCACACACCTGTAATCCCAGCTACTCGGGAGGCTGAGGCAGGAGAATTGCTTGAACCGGGGAGGCAGAGATTGCGGTGAGTTGAGATCACTCCATTGCACTCCAGACTGGGCAACAAGAGCAAAACTCCATCTCAAACAAACAAAAAAGATTCCAGGCCTTTTCTGAGGTCCTCACTTTGTATGGTATCTACTTAAATGAAGCTTTACCTGAGATTTTGTTTCCTTGCCTTTTGAAGAAAAGCTTCTAGCTAGTTAAAAGTAACAAAAGAATAACTGTGGCCTTATAATAGCAACTGTTGCAAAATCAAACACAACAGTGAATGGAGGATAAAATACAGCATTTACCTAGAAACATGTCCACTTTAATCACTTAATAGACGCAAGATCCTTAGGTAGTGGCCGGATGTGGTGGCTCAAGCCTGCAATCCCAGCACTTTAGGAGGCCGAGGCGGGTGTATCACTCAAGCCAGGAGTTTAAGACCAGCTTGACAAACATGGCAAAAGCCTGTCTACTAAAACCACAAAAATTAGTGGGCGAGGTAGTGAACATCTATAGTCCCAGCTACTCAGGAGGCTGAGGCAGGAGAATTGCTTGAACCTAAGAGGCGGAGGTTGCAGTGAGCTGAGATTGCGCCACTACACTCCAGCCTGGGAAACAGACTGAGATTCAGTCTCAAAAAAAAAAAAAAAAATTCTTAGGCAGGTCCCTTCCTTTACTTTTCGGAACCTGTTTCCTCTTTGGCAAAATGAGGATGACATCACCAGCTACCTGGCAAAGTCTACATAAAGAGAAAATGAAATAATATACCTGGTAAAGTGCTTCTTAATCATGTGCTTATAGATAGTTATTACTGCTTTAAGCACTTCCCAAAGGACATAAAGATGCCTATTTTCTCCTGGAAGAGTCAACGAAGCCCAAGTAGAAAATCAGACCATGGGCCAAGCCCGGTGGCTCACGCCTGTAATCCCAGCACTATGGGAGGCGGAGCCAAGCAGATCATGAGGTCAAGAGATCAAGACCAGCCTGGCCAATATGGTGAAACCCCATCTCTACTAAAAATACAAAAATTAGCTGGGTGTGGGAGGCTGAAGCGGGAGAATCACTTGAACCCAGGAGTCAGCGGTTGTTGTGGTGAGCCGAAATCTCTCCACTGCACTCCAGCCTGGCAACAGAGTGAGACTCTGTCTCAAAAGAAAAGAAAGAAAATGAGATCATGACCCCAACTATTTCCAAGAGCTTGACCTCAAAGCGTTTCCCAGGGCTACTTGTAGAAGTCCACTACTTCCCTTGCTCTGAGCAGAATGCAGAAGTAAAACTGGGGTTGGAGGTTGGCATGGCAGGAGGACTACCCATATGAGCTGGCACTCTACACACCTACACCTAACCTGTCCCAAAGTCATCTCCTCCTGTAAGTCTTGCCCTCCTACCCTAGACACCTCATGATAGCTGGTTGAGCAGGTACTATTCTGCCAAGCTACTTGACATACTCAGTCTCATTGGATTTCCACAGTCGTCTATAATCCCATTTCACAGATAAGACAAAGAAGACTCAGAGAAATTAACTCACTCAGGGTCACACAGTTACTAAGTGGAAATACCACATCTCTAGTAACTCACTCAGTCTTCAAACTGGCTGCTTGGTCTCCCATGCTAGGGTTCCCTGAGAAGGCTCCATCTCCCCATTTAGGGCACTTTCACATACACGTCTCATCACCTTAACCACTCTGAGAAGCAAGGTTACGACCCCACTGGACAAACAGGTCAACTAAGGCCAGAGGGTAGAAAAGACTTGCCCAAGGTCACACAGCAAGCCCGGGACAGCAATGAGGTTCGGACCCCAGGCTCTCGCTTCCCCGCCCTCCTCCCAAACTGGTTCCCTGACCACAACCACAAGGACCCCAGGTGGGCTGCGACCCAGGTTGGTCCTGTCTGGGGGGTCGGGCCGCGAACCCGCCCGGGGAAGAAGGGGCGAGGCCGTCGGGACGACTAGAGGATGCCCGGGAGGCAGGGCAGAGGATGCTCCGGCTCGCAGGACAGCAAACCCAGGCGGCGGCGAGGGCCCGCCGGAAAAATCCCAGGCAGCCACACGGATCGGCCCTGCTCGGCGGACGCCCGGCACCTCCGACTCACCTGCGGCCGGAACCAAAAGCGGGCGGCGGCGGCGGCGGCGGCGGCGGCGGCGGCGGGGGCGGCGAACCCCTGGCTCAGCCATTCCCCGCTGCCCCGGATGGGGAGAGACAGTGGCCGCTCACTTCCTTAGCAACCTGGCTCCGCGACCCACTTCCTTAGCAACCAGTGTCAATTTCAATAACTTTATTGGAACACGAGCAGCGGACAGGCAAAGCCGGGTGGGAGGGGCCGGGCGGGGCTCTGTCGGTGCTGGCGCTTAGCCGGAGGCTCAACACACCTCGGCCTCCTCGTCCACCTAAGCGGGGAGAGCGGCGCGCAACGTGGCCTGCCTCAGTTTCTCATCTGTAAAATGGAACACACGCGATTTCAGCCGCCGTTCAACCTTTCCTAAACGTTTTCACGTCTCCTATCTGATCGGTGTCTCAAACTGCTACAGAGATCGTTCCCATTTAGAGTGCCCCCAGTGACTCAATCCAAACTCCTGTAGGCATCCTTGTTGTTTCTTTCCCGTCCCTTACCCAATCCAGTCAGTCACGACCGCACCAGGCAAGGCCAGGCCACGCTCATCTCTAGCATCTGGTCTCTCTTCCGTTCCTTGGTCCAGCTCTGCCTGGACAATCCATTTTCCATAAGGTGGCCCGAGTAATTATTTAAAACAGATCATAAGTCAGGTGCAGTGGCTCACGCCTGTAATCCCCGCACTTTGGGAGGCCGAGGCAGGTGAATCACCTGAGGTCAGGAGTTCGAGACCAGCCTGGCCAACATGGTGGAACCCCATCTCTACTAAGAATACAAAATTAAGCCGGGCGTGGTGGTGTGTACTTGTAATCCCAGCTACTCAGGTGGTGGAGGCAGGAGAATCACTTGAACCCGGGAGGCGGAAGTTGCAGTGAGCAGAGATGGCACCACTGGACTCCAGCCGGGGCAACAAGAGTGAAACTCCGTCTCAAAAATAAAAGTTAATTAAATAAATAAAACAGATCATGCCACTCCCTGGTTAATATTCGATTTAATGGAGTCCCATTGCTCTTAGAATCAAATCTAAAGTCCTTATTACCTCCTGCAAAAATCGTTAAAATTCTGTTCCATCCACACTGGCCTAGAAGGGCAGGTTCCAACTCCCATGGAAGGTTCCAGCTTACACTTGCTGTTCCCCACTAAACAGAAACTCCATAAGAGCAGTCTTTTATTTGTTCACTCTTGTATCCCCATACCTGGAACCAAGCTTAGTCAATAGTAGGTGGTCAATAAATATGTGTTGCTCCTTGAATGGATGAATGCCTGAGATGCTTTTCCTCACCTGCCCACCCCTACTTTTTGCCTGTTGTGTCAGATATTGCTACTTCCTCTTGAAAACTTATTTCTTCTTGCTCCTGGACACACACAGCTAGGCAATATTTCCCAGCCTTCCTTACAGTTCAGATCAAGTTCTGGCCAATTAAGTGTGATGTGTGCCATTCTCAGGCCTGACCCATCAAAACTCCCACATAATTTGATTTACAGTTTCTCTAAAGTGAAGAAGTTTATTTTATTTTGATATTTAAATAAAATAATAAAGGAAATACCAAAAGAGACTGCACCCAGCCTCTTTTGGTGTTTCCTAAGGCTAATAATTGCCTCGTTTCCCTCCTCCCCACTTTCATTAGCTTTCTTTGCAGCTATTAATTTTTTCCTATGCAGTTAATAAATTAGACAAATAACCAGCAAAGTGATTTTTCCAGATGTGTAACATAACAAATAATTTGGCTGGGTGTGGTGGCTCATGCCTGTAATCCCAGCACTTTGGGAAGCAGAGGCCGGCAGATCACCTGAGGACAGGAGTTCAAGACCAACCTGGCCAACATGGAGAAACCATGTCTCTACTAAAAATACAAAAATTAGCCAGGTGTGGTGGGGAGTGCCTGTAATCCCCACTATTCAGGAGGCTGAGGCAGGAGCATTTCTTGAACCCAGGAGGTGGAGATTGCAGTGAGCCGAGATCACCCCATTGCACTCCAGCCTGGGTGACAAGAGCAAAACTCCATCTCACAAAATCAACAACAACAACTTAAAAAAAAAAAAGTTCATGAATTCTCTTTTGTGTTTTTCTCCTGAAGTCTTCAGCTCTGAGCTGGAACAGCATTCTCCAGGCCTACTGCACAGCTGTCATACTGAATTTTTCTACATCCTACTCCTAGTTGGGATTCCCTGTGCCCTGGACCTTATGTCTCAAACTTCTGAATTGTGGACTTACTCTGTCATCTCTGTGCAGCACATCTTTCTGTAGATTCCTGAGAAAGGTTGCAAAGAAGCAAATATGTTTAGTCCTTGTATGTCTAAATATGTCTCTATATGGTTTTCACACTTGATTAATAGTTTAGCAGGGTATAGAAATGTAGGCTGAACATTGGGTGTGGTGGCTCATGCCTGTAGTCCCAGCACTTTGGCAGGCTGAGGTGGGCAGATCACCTGAGGTTGGGAGTTTGAGACCAGCCTGACCAACATGGAGAAACCCTGTCTCTACTAAAAATACAAAATAAGCCAGGTGTGGTGGCACATGCCTGTAATCCCAGCTACTCAGGAGGCTGAGGCTGGAGAATCACTTGAATCTGGGAGGCGGAGGTTGCGGTGAGCTGAGATCATGCCATTGCACTCCAGCCTGGGCAGCAAGAGCAAAACTCCATCTCAAAAAAAAAACAAAAAAAGGAAAGAAATCTAGGCTGAAAATTATTTTCTCTCAGAATTTTTAAAGCATTGCATTATTGTTTCCAGTATCCAGATTTAAGACATCTAATGTCATTCTTAATCCTATTGCTTTGTATGTATCTTGTTCTTTCTTTTATTTTTAATATTTGAAAACTTTTAGGCTATCATTTTTTTTTTTTTTTTTTGAGATGGAGTTTCACTCTTGTTGCCCAGGCTGGAGTACAGTGGCACGATCTCAGCTCACCGCAACCTCCGCCTCCTGGGTTCACATGATTCTCCTACCTCAGCCTCCTGAGTAGCTGGAATTACAGGCATGTACCATGTTGCCCAGTTAATTCTGTGTTTTTAGTACAGACAGGGTTTCTCCATGTTGGTCAGGCTGGTCTCAAACTCCTGACCTCAGGTAATCCACTCACCTCAGCCTCCCAAATTGCTGGGATTACAGGTATGAGCCACCATGCCTAGCTAGGCTATCATCTTTATCCATAATGTATTTGATGGTGATTCCCCTCAGTAAGGCTTTTCCTCACTTGTGTTAGCTGGGCCTTTTCAGTCTGGAGACTTATATCCCTCTAACCTAGGAAATTTTCTTGTATTATTTCTGTGATAATTTTCTTCCCTTCTATTTTTTTCCCCCCTGAGACAGTGTCTCACTATTTTGCACAGGCTGGAATGCCTGTGGCATGATCATGGCTTACTGTAGCCTCAACCTCCCAGGCTCAAGTGACCCTGGCACCTCAGGTGCATACCACCATGCCTGAATAATTTTTCTATCTTTTGTAGAAATGATGTCTTACTGTGTTGCCCAGCTGTTCTCAAACTCCTGGGATCAAGCAATCCTCCTGCCCTGACCTCCCAAAGTGTTGGGATTACAGGACTGAGCCATCACACATGGATCACTCCTCCATTTTTTTTTTCTTCTTTCGGGAATTTCTTAGTCAAGAGTTGTACCTTCGAAACTGATCTCTTAATTTTCTGTTTTTCTCTATTTTCCCTCTTTTTGACTTTTTTGATCCACTGTGCGGGAGATTTCCATCCATATCTTTATTTTTAGTGTCTCTCTCTTCTAGGGAGGAATCTGGGCTTGTCTTTTAGTCATCAAAACAATATTCCCTGCAGACATTTGGGTCATAACTTCCTCCCCCTGTTAAGTCAGTTACTCCTTCCTCTTCTGTCTCTGTTTTCCAAAAACTTGCTGAAATCCCTGGGCCACTAATATCTCCTTTTGCTATTAATGTTCTGGGTTAATACATTTTTTCTTCCTTATTGTCATATAGACAATATGGGGTATGAGGGAGAAAAAAACAAATATATGTCATCAATCCACTATGTTTCACTGGATGTCTTTACTGCTATTTAACAACAATGTATTATATTATTCTTCAAAATAGCGAGGAAACCTGAAATGTACCCAACACATAGAAATGATAAATACTTGGGTGATTATCAGGTACCCTAAATACTCTGACTTTATCATTACACATTTATGCGTGTAACAAAATTGCACATGTACCTTTTGTACAAATATAATGTTTTGAAAACTGTTTAAATTTTTTAAACAGATAGGTAAAAGGTATGAACAGATAGTTCAGAGAAAAGGAATAGAAAATATTGCTTTTAAACATAGGAAAAGGAAATATACTTATGCTTACTCACATTAAAGGAAATAAAAATTGAAACAACTTTTTAATTTATTTTTGAGACAGAATCTTGCTCTGTCGCCCAGGCTTCAGAGCAGTGGTGCAATCTCAGCTCACCGGAACCTCTACCTCCGGGTTCAATTGATTCTCATGCCTTAGCCACCCGAGTAGTTGGAATTACAGGCATGTGCCACCACACCTGGCTATTTTTTGTATTTTTTAGTAGAGGCAGGGTTTTGTCATGTTGGCTAGGCTGGTCTCAAATTCCTAGCCTCAAGTGATCCACCTGCCTCAGCCTCCCAAAGTGCTGGGATTACAGGCATGACCCACCATTGCACCTGGTAGACAAAAAGAGCTTTGGAAAGGTATTGTCGATAATGGTCTGATCTTGATTCTGTCCTTAGCAAGCTGAATAAAGCTGTGTATTGAAATGGGATTAGTAGTAGCAGCTGTACAGTGCACGGTGACTAGCTTGTTCCAGTTTGCACAGGTCTGGAAACTGGAACCCTGCTTTAAGCACCCAAAGTTTCGTGTCCCAAGAAACTCCTTAGTCCAGGCAAACTAGGACGACTGGTTACCCTAGTATGATGGGGTAACGTCTATATTACCAGTATGTTTCAATTCCTGGCATTTCCTTTCCCTACTGTGTCCTCTTTTCCATCTAATCTGGACTATGAGACATTTATTGCTCAGAGGAGGGTTATTTCAGTAGAAAAATAGAGAAAGGACTTTTTGAGTCCCAGAATCTTGGGGAGGAGACTCAGGGAATGAAAGAAGTTTTGAAAAGTCAGAATAGGGCTTTCAAACCTCTCAATTCTAGAGATTTGCTGAATTCAGTAAA